AGTTTATTCTTAATCACTGTTATAATTTTTAGATAAAATTAATCCTTATATCAACAAATTTTCCTCGTAAATCATCTTCTCCTGTTCATCTGGAACGTTAAGTTTTCGTTACTTATATGTCATAAATTTGCATTTGTATTAATTAAATACTTACTCAGTCACACAGCGTATAGGTATATTATCTGAAATTAAATAAATAAAAACTGAATAATTAATTAATATTGACGCATTACGATCACTAATAAATTAAGTATTATTTTTTTTTAGTATTTTCTCTTAAATAATTAATCCAATGTTACAGATTCCCCTAACATGCGAGTTTCTCTTATGTCCGTATTTAGTGACATTCGACACAATGAGTAAACAAACAAACAACTTACCCTCAGAAATACTGAAATATTCGTCGGTTTCTTTGTAGTATATAATTAACCTTCTCTTCCCTCCCCCTAAGACTTCTGTCTTGCCTCTGCTATTAAAGATGTCGTACCGTTCTTCAGCAAAATAACTTGTTTGCTGAATAGAAAAAGATTAAACAGAAATATTATAAACTTGCTAACGTTTCAACAAAGATATTATGTACCTGGATTATTATTTTTATTCAAAAACAATTATATGTGACTTATATTAAATTTTGGCTTCGATAAATCACTAGTTCTTATTCATTAATTAAGGCTTAAGATTTCACCGTAAAGAGTTTACTAGATTCTGATTTTAAAAGACCAGAAGTCATTCCACTTCCATAGTTAATCCTCCTGTTTTGTAATTTGAATAATATATAATTCATAATGTCCTATTGCCACGTCTGATATCCAGAACTTAGTAACGTTTTTCTCTATTGCCACGTCTGATATCTAGAACTAAGTAAAGTTTTGTCTATTGCCACGTCTGATATCCGGAACTAAGTAAAGTTTTCTCTATTGCCACGTCTGATATCCAGAACTAAGTAACGTTTTGTCTATTGCCACGTCTGATATCCAGAACTAATAAAGTTTTGTCTATTGCCACGTCTGACATCCAGCACTAAGTAACGTTTTGTCTATTGCCACGTCTGATATCCAGAACTTAGTAAAGTTTTGTCTATTGCCACGTCTGATATCCAGAACTTAGTAAAGTTTTTGTCTGTTGCCACGTCTGATATCCAGAACTTAGTAAAGTTTTTGTCTATTGCCACGTCTGATATCCAGAACTTAGTAAAGTTTTTGTCTGTTGCCACGTCTGATATCCAGAACTTAGTAAAGTTTGTGGCAATAGACAAAAACTTTACTTTACTTAAC